TTAGAAGGTCATACCAATTTATTGCTGCTAGTTCATTTCTCATTGCGGTGTAGTTTCCGCGCCAGTAGTCTAACCGAACCTCCGTATTTCTCGGTTGCTTGGTGCTTGAAGCATATTCCCACAGGATCATGACATGATCACTCCTTCCAACTCTTTGTTCTCCTTTACCGACTGTTTAGCATCTTGCTGGATTGCCGCTTGCTGTTTCAATTTACATTTTAGCAGCGAAAGATTAAATATCCATTTTCCTTCAAGAGCAGAATGTGGCATCCTGGTTTTGTCGGACAACTGTTTTTGCCCTTCGATTTGACCGTGATGTTTGTATCGTGATAATATCAGTACATGTCAGTTGCCTATAGCACCTGATTTAATATATCCGGTTGTAGTTTTAATCACACTGATTGCTTATTGATAGAGAGACATACTTTATTCTGAAAATATCATTCCAAAACTTTAAGCAAAAAATATCCTCCAAAATTTACAAGGTCAGGCACACAAATCTACAAGAGCGAGGAGTTAAAAGTGATCCATAATCGTCAATGACTGCAATTTTCGACATCCTTAATAAATATACTTGGAATATGCGTCAAATATGGCCAAATTGGACTGCCTTCAAAACGGTGCTAGTGTCGTGACTCTATACACCTGACCTCATTGTAGTTCAAATAAACAATGAGGGGTGGGCGACGTATATATAAGAACATTTACATGCGAATGGAGGGAGGAAAAAATTCGCGGCTCAATTTGAAAAGCTCTCCAAAGTTAGTTTTGGACTGCGTTTTTATTTATGTAATCCGCACAAGTACGGCTTCATAAACGCCCCTGGAGCCGGAGAGTCAAGCAAACTTTAAGTACTGCGGCTGCCTTGTTATTTTAAGTGAAGAGTTTACTAAGCTAAGTTCGGGATTGGCCTAGAAAGGTTGGAGTTTTTTCTAGCATACCTCTCTTACTGTTGACGACTCGCCTGATTACTTGGCTCTGTAGTGATTGGCTGCTTGATTATGCTTGTTTATTCTCACACCAATTGCAGACGCGATCGTGATGTAAAGCAGGACCTCGAGATGGCCTGGAGCGACAAGCACGAGGCAGACATGCTGGATACTGAGGGTGGCCACCTAAAGCCCACCTCCACCAATAAACAACACTATCCTGGCGAGGCACGTGCCTACCCACAGGCCGCACAGTCTACGGTTGAGTCCTGGACTCAGCATCCACATGACATTATTCTGCGAGCGGAGCACGAGCGTATGGCCAGTGAGCAGTTGCTGCATCTCGCCTGCAACATCATTAACGATGTCACGCGTGATGTTATTCACCAGAAGGATATCGTCAATGCGGCCTTTCAGAAGAGGCTCGATGAATATGAGGCTGACAAGTTCAGACTCACAGGCCAGCTCAAAGCGGTGAGTAGAATTTTGGGCAACAGTAGTTTGTGTAGTGCACCTCATTAATCCCTAATCCCCAGCATTTTGTCCAACGAAAAAAGGTAATTATATGGTTTTTCTGGGTGGAGAATTAGCTAGGCAATGGAATATACTTTAATGACTGCTGCATGCATTTTTAGAAATGTTGTTGACTTATATCTGTAGGTTTTCGTAATCTGCATTTTCTTTTAATGTCTTGAGGAAAGACCCGATTATCAAATCGCAGGTTTCTTGATATTCCTGAAAAATAGAAACGGTGGTTAGGGGGTCGTCTACTTCGACTTACCTGCGGTCCAACTTACCGTTCTGGAGTTAGATTAGTATAGTCCGCGGGAGCGAAGCGCCGCGCACACCTTCAATTTACATGCGAAACAACTTACTCCCAGCGGCCGCGGAAGCGCCGCACACGTTCAATTTACATGCGGAACAAATTGTTCTCAGCGGCCACGGGAAACATTTTTTCACTTAACGCTTCTAAGAATTTCATTCCCTGCCTATCCTTTTTCCCCACCCCCAAAACCCTATAATTACCGCTTCGGTAGGACAAACTGCCGAAACTAGGGGTAACTGGAGGTGCACTACATAAACTACTTTTGCCGAATTTTGTATTAGTAGATGTGACTGCTTAAACCGCTCAGTTTAAATTCACAAAATATTGCTGACGATGTTTCTGCAGCCCACTGAGTGATTAACTTATTTTAAGTCGTAATTTTGCTGGTTTGCATGCTGTTGGACAGACATGGATAGGGGGCTGAGGGTTTTGTTGAGAGTTTAGAATCAAAAATGTTGTTAGTAGGGTATGGGTTTAGGTTTGGAGGTGTTTGGCTATGAATTTAGAACAGGATATTTGAGCCAAGTTCAAGGCTAAGAAAAAGATAACGGACCCTAATTGCTAATCTTAACTGCTAAGTCTAACTATTAGCCCTAACTACTAAGTCCAACTGCTAGTCCTAACTACTAAACCTGTTCACTGCTCGTGACTCTTAGTCCTAACAAATAACCTTAATTACTAATCCTAGCTACTAACGGCAACACAAACTACCTAACTCCAACCGGAAACCAACTCCCAACTTTCCCAATTAAAACCCTAAACCCAAACGTCAATTCCTAGTCCGCTGCACCTAAACCTAACTCCATAAACTCATAGGCAAAATTTCCTAATTTTAAATCCCCTAACAAAATTCCTGTCCATAAGTGCCCAAGAATGGAAGACGGTTTCGGTAGGACACTAAAATCGTTTAAGTAAGCAACCATACGGTAAGTATCAAGTGCGGCTCCTGGACCATTCCTCAACCCCGACTACTAACTCTATCAACTAGCCCTACTTTCTATTACTAACTATCGAGTTTAACTAGTAATCTTAATGGCTAAACCTAATTGCTAATACCAACCACTGACCCAAACATCTACGCATATAAACTAATCCCAACAGCTAATCCTTATTGCTACTCCTGTAGGACCTGTCTCGACCCAAAACCCCTAGCTCAGACGGAAAGCCAAATCCTGAATTTCTTAACTACGGTCCTAAACGTAAAACCTCAAGCTCTAGCCTACCAAACCTAAATCTAACTCTTTAGCCCTATGGGCAAAGTAATCTAATTTTAAGCATACGAACTAAACCTTAAAACCCTGTCCATAACCGCCTAAGAGAATTCGGGTCAGCGTAATCATGGCTACTCAAATCATTTCAGTAAGTACTCCATGAGGTAATCACCAAATGCCCCTGTGGGACCATTCGTCCGCAAGCTTTTCCGGAATGTCCGAAACTACTTCATGCTTCCTACGCCGACCACAGGGAAAGAGCATGGCCATAGGTGGTAGGCATAAACGCAATGGCTGATAGAGCCTAGCAGCCCATTTGCACGTTGCATGCGTGTCCTGTTTACCCGTTCCACTTGTGTCAGGTGTTACCAAAGGAGTCGTAGATGTGCCGCAGCAGCCTAAGTTAGTAGGTAAAATCCTTGTCGCTGCGATCTTCTGGCCCGGTTCTGGAGGGGAGGAGAAGAAGTGAGACGCTAGATAGGAGGATTCGTGTGATCTGTGCAGAAGTAGTGGAGGAAAGGTAGGAGAGGGTTGACTGTCAGACGAGTGCACAACCACCCGCAAGAGGACCGATGTCCGAAGTGTGTGAGCGTGACAGTTGTCACGGTGAGGTTCTGTGTGAGTCAGCCACAGGCAGATGATTGGTCAGACCGAGTTGGTGTAAGCAGGCTGGCGCATGAGCACTTGCTAGCAGCCATAGGAGGTTGAGCGTTGGCACAGTTTGCGCACTGTGCTGCACCTGTCATTGGCTGTCCCAGAAGCGGGCCGAAAACTGCAATTACGTGACCACATGCGTGGAATGGCGCTGGAGGTTGAAGGTTCTATAGGGTCACTACAGCCTGTCCCGGCCTGTCGGTTAACCGGTGGAGAGATTGAGTACATTATTTGATGTGGTGCGTGCTTCTGCTTCATGCGTCCTGCGTGGGTACAGCAATGATTAAAATCTAAAGCAAGCTCAGAGTAGCCCAACGTAACGGCGCTACAGCTCATTTGCAGACACAAAGACGGAATGACAAAAAAGTCACTTTTGCATCTAAACATTTAAAAAAATATTGTCGCTTGCTGATTTTTCATATTGATTTTGAAACTTCACTTGTACCTGCGCATTGCTCAGCCGACATTTTCACAATTAAATGCTGATTGGTCACACGTTTAAGGCTACCCTGTACAAACAGGATAGCTGATCCATACGTGTTTTTTGACTGCCAGACCTACCGCAGAGTCGAGCCGTCTTTTGCAAAGTTTTCGTAATGTTACTTTAGTCTCTGTATGAATAAAAATTTGCTCTGTTTCGTGAAACAAGTCAGTGGAAAATGGGGCCACGCCTCAAACACGTACATGCCCCTTGTTCCGGACAGATAATCACTGTCTATGTGTAGGAGTTAGCGGCAATGCAGGCTGGAGGACAACCGGTCACAGGCGCCTTCCTCACCAATCGACACTTCGATCGTCAATTTCGAGTAGTTCTACCATGTGACAGGCCGGAATCAGGTGTGGTAAATTGCACGTGAACTTTAATGTGGGAATAGACTTTCGATGCATCTACCGCACTAGCTCTCTCTCTTCCATCACGCGCTCGTGCCCGTTATCATGGCAGAGTCAACAAGATCGGAGGTATGAGCGGACTCAGGTGGCTGGCAGGGCAAAAATTCACACCTAAGCCTACCCCCGCGCTGCGGGGGTCCACGACAAACACTTGAACAGAAT